CTCCACCTTTCCTAGTGTGTGACGGCCTCTTCCAAGGCCTGACTCCTCCTCACAACATGCCCAAAGTATGTGAGACAAAGCAACTGCTATATTAGGGCCAGGACAGCACAATTAACAGGACGCGAGATACACAAAGTCCTTGATTGGAGGAATTTTCTCTCATTTTAGTGGGGCTAGGGAATAGGTTGCGGAGTGATTCCAACCCGTAGGAACCCTCCATCTTTCTGGGTTCTGAAGTTGTCAGCCTTTGCTCCGGTGGAGTGAGCAGCTAGTGAATTTGAACCACTGACCTTTTGGTTAGCAGGCCAACACGTAAGCATACTATGCCATCATGACACCTCCTGTGAAGATTGATCCAGCCTCTGAAACCCAGGAGAGGGTCACCGTCAACTTCGTGGTGGTGGATCCTGAGAGTGATATTTACAAGGAAAATGGAATGGGTAATTGGGAAGTGACTTAAGCCACTTTATCAAGAAGGTGTCTGGCACGAGAGTTAAGCCTAAAGCTCAAGCAGCTGGGCCAAGATAGGAGGTCTTGTCAGAGAAAAATAGATCCAGACAGATGGAACAGAGAATACAAAAATCTGAGAGAGGGAAGGAAAGACTCTTACTGACTCTCACTGCCACTGTCTTAAGAAGATGCTGCTTAGAAATATTTCCCCGTTCAGCCTGGCTGGCCAAATACACACAGCCCAGTTGTTATAAGAGACAGTTAAGTCGGAACCAAATTATAGCTAAATGACCCTCCAGCAGCGATGAAAACCACACGGGAGGAGACTGTGCATCTTTTTCTCAAGGAGAAACTGGAATTTGAACCTTTGGGTTGGCACCGTAACTTATTAACCGTTAAACCCCCAGAGCTCTGGAAGCTTGACTGTTGTTAGGTGACGCCAATTCAGAGCGACCTTATGTTCAACAAAACCAAACCCTACCTGAGCTGCCCTAGTGGCATAGTGTGCAATGTGTTGGCTGCCAACCGAGAGGTTGTTAGTTCGAATCCATTAGCCACTCCTTGGAGTAAAGTTGGAGAGTCTCTGCCCATGAAGATTAATAGCCTCGGAAATGTGAAGAAAGCTCACAGTTAATCAAAACTGGCTCGACAATAGTGGGTTCTGCATGATTAGAAAACCTATCTGTGGCTGCTCCAGGTACAACCTAACTGAAACTGGATTCTCCGTGCTGTGTTGATTTTGTTTTGTTTTTCCAAATTCCACACTAATTATAGCTTTCTTTTTCAGGAGCCCAATTTGGGCTCAGACTCCCCTTCTCAGAAATCCCTTAATTCTAAAATGAAGAGACAAGAGACATTGGGTTTTTTTCTGCTTTTAGCTCCTAGATTCCTGAACCTGAAATAGCAAGAGATTAAGTCCCTCTGCTTCAGAAATAGAGTGTGAATTCTGGGGAGGCATGTTTGGCACAAGCCTCTTAATAGTTTAAGGGCCTTCGTTTCATTTATATTTAAAGAGGGAGGCTATAGCATGTATATTTGTTCTGCAAATGTTTGCTGACAGCCTGCTCTGGGCTAGGACCTCTGCTCAACGCTGGGGAGAAAGGTACAAGGTCTTTGTTCCTATGGAGTTGCCTTTCTAGTTCTGAGGGTGGACAGACAATGAAATGGTGACAAAAAATAAGGTGAGAGTTTGTGGGGCAGAGTGGTGCAAGGGCCAGGGTAGAACTTTCGAAGAGGTGGGGTAGAGCTGACACCTGAATGAAGGAAAGGTGGCCCAGGTGATGGAAATAGCTGGTTCAAAGGCCCTGGGGCCAGTAGAAAGGAAGGCAGAAATACAAGAGAGGTAGGAAGAGGTAGCAGAGAACCAGCTTATGCTGCGCTTTGAAGACAAAGGGAAAGAATGTTCATTTAATTCTGAGTTATGGGGACTGATTTCTTACTTTCAAGTCATCCAACTGCTCTTATACTCATTGTTGAGTCAGACCAGCTCAGCTGGTCCTCCATTGGGTTTCTGAAGCTGTACTCACACGGGAAGTGATTGACATATTGTTCCCTTGAAGCAACTTGGGATGAAGCCACCAGAGAGGCACAAGCTTTGGATTTTAGCAAGGCAGCTCCCTACAGATTATGCCACTGTAGGCGAGAGTGGGTGATGGGAGAGCAGAGGAGAAGCAGAGTGATCATGTCTGTATTTTAAGACACATCTTTTTCACATTCAGGCATTCAGGCAGTTCCCGGGTTATGAACAACCTGTAGTACAACCTGTAGTACACATCAAACCCTAGAAGTGTCTAGTAACAATTCTAGATCATTAAATGAATTAGCGTGAGAGTTCTCTTTAGAACAAGGTAGATAGATAAGGCATTCATCACCACCTCCAGGTTCTAGTTCATTGCTCTTGGGCTGTAAGCTCTTGTGTAACTGTTCAAGCAGGAGGAAGAAAAGAAGATGTGTGACTTTTGACTGAGCCACAGACCCTTTAGACTCAGTGCAAACCAAGATAAGAACTCTGGAGAGGCAGCTGTCAGTCGGTGGGAGAAGGAATTTGAACTCAGCTGGGCTTCTCGACCCATTCCCAGGTCTTGTCCAGCTCTCCATACCAGCAGCTCGCCACAGCCACCTCCGCCTGCACTTTACATGGTAGATCCAGTGATTGAGAATAATAAACAGCTAATTTGCAGTGTACTCAAAACATTGTTATTATTATATGTTACTGTTGTTATTGAGTACCATCGAGTCAGAACCGACCCATAGCTGACCCTCCGGGTTTTTAGAGGCTGTTAATCACATGGGAGGAGATTTCCCATCTTTCTCCTGATTATATATTACAGTTGTTGTTGTGTACCATGGAGTCAGAACAGACTCATAGCTGACCCTCTGGCAGGTTTTCACAGTGAGAAGATTCCCTATCCTCCCACAGAGCAGCTGGTGGCCTTGAACTGCGTGCCTTTGGGATTGCAGCACAGCTACTTGTGACTAGGCCACCAGACCTTCTTTATATGTATTACTAGTATGCTAATTATGTTTTCACATACCTGCAAGTGTTTCTTTTTTTGTTGTTGTTTTCTTTTTTTAAATTTTTATTTTAATTTTATTTTTTTATTTCAATGAACATCTGCAGAGATTTTGGAATTCCATTCATTCATTGTTGCACTTTTTTCCCTGCCCACCCCACCCCCAGCAAGTGTTTCTTTAATGTTATTTTATGCATGGAAAGATAGACTGTATATTTGTACTAAGATAGCTATTTGATGAATTGATATGGTGAGCCATACCGCTTTCAGTTTAAGTGCAAATTTGATGTAAAGACAGGAGCAGAACTCGTTGGTAATGTAGGGATTGCCTTTACTGTTGTTACTCTGTGTGTGTGTGTGTTGTCGTTATTGGAGCTGTTTAAATCATGATTTCATAACAGCTGTAAAAAGGGCCAAAGTCTGAATGGAATAGAATGGCACAGACGCATCAGGAAGTGACCTCATGCAGGGTGGAAGCCAGCTCCTTATTATGTCAGTATACATCACAATCAGGGTGGTCAAAAAAATAATTTCTGAAGGTCTTTAACTTCCAGGCTTTGTCCCCCATCATGCATCTCCCACTGGAGTAGAGAACGGAACAAGGAACTGCCATGTAGGTTGAGGAAATAGCCTGTTCTTCCACAAGATGCCCTGGGATTAAATTGCCTGGTATTTTGAATGCTGCTGGCTACCAGTGATTGAGCTCTGACTCATAGCAACTCTATGCATGAGGATAAAACGCTGCCTGTTCCTGCCCCATTGTCAGCATCCTTGGCATGTTGGAGCCCCATTGGACAATATTCCGTGCTCATCAGTAATTGGCTGATCTTAAAAATGAGATAGCCGGATTGTCCTTCCTAGTCTTACTTTAATCTGGAAGCTCCACTGAAGCCTGTCCATCATGGGTGACCCTGCTGGTATGTGAAATCTTGCTGACACAGCTTCCAATATCATAGCAAAGACTCAAGCCACCATAGGCCACAATCAGACAGAGGAGTGTTGGGGTGTTTAAATAAGGACGGCTTAAATTCTGGTAGGGGGCCAAGGGAAATTGACTAAAGCAGGAGGGAATGAAATAGCAAGGTGACATTTCTTTTCCATTTGATAATATGTAATCTGGGTATTGGGAGCTCTCTGGTGGCTTCGTGGTAAGGAATTGTGCTGTCAACACAGAGGTATGCGGTTCAAATCCACCAGCGGCTCTGCTGGAGAAAGATGGTTCTTTTGAACCAGTTACTGTAGCATCGATTTTGGCTCATGGAGCCCCCATGTGTATCCAAGGAGAACTGTGCTCCATAGAGTTTTTAAGGCTGAATTTTTCGGGGGGGGGGGGAGTAGATTGCCAGGTTTTTCTTCCAAGGTGCCCCTGAGTGGACTCAAACTTCCAGCCTCTGTGTTAGCAGTGGAGCACATTCACTTTTGCTTGTCTATGAGTTTCAGGTTCTTTTGTGGAGGCTTTTTTTTTTTTTTTTTGCGAGCTCTAGTGACGCAGTGCCATAAGCACAGTGTTGAGTTTCTTCTCACTTCAGGGTTGTTGGTTCGAATCCACCAGCTGCCCTGTGGGAGAAAGATGGTCAGTTTCCTTCTGTAAAGAGTGATGGCTGTGGGAACTTGGTCAAGAGTTGCTGTGAGTCAGAGTTGACTCGCCAGTGGGATTGGCTTTGGTTTCTTTCCTAGCACCATCCAGCAGCATCCTCGTGTGGGTGCCTCTTCGCTTTCTAACTCTTCCTGCGTTCAGGAAAATGAGGCTTCCACTCCATTCGGGGCTCACAGTACAAAGGTTGCTCTGAGTCGCAGTTAAGCAGTGGTTGGGAGTGCCAGGACTGAGTAACCGCAGTGGCATGTGGTCGCTGGCTACTGGTCGTGCTCCGGATCCTTGAAATGACCACTCTGTCTTGGAATCCGTCAAGTGTCAGTCTTTGCCCCTGGGAGACTGTGGCTTTCCTGTGTCTCGGTCATTGGTCATCGAGGTGGTCAGGCAGCCCAGGGAGCCCGTCTCCTCCCTTTCCCGGGAAGTGAAAGTGCTTTGTTTGAAGTATGCTGTGCCCTGTCCCAGAGGAACCGCTGCTGCTGGCCGAGCTCAAGCCGGGGCGTCCCCACCAGTTTGATTGGAAGTCCAGCTGTGAGACGTGGAGTGTCGCCTTCTCCCCAGATGGCTCCTGGTTCGCCTGGTCTCAAGGACACTGCATTGTCAAGCTGATCCCCTGGCCGCTGGAGGAGCAGTTGTAAGTACTCTGGGGCCCTCACCCTAGATGCAGTGATGGGTGTTTTCTTGAAGGGCACTTGGGGGCGGGGGGAGGGTGTTCCTACATGACTCCCTCAGAATGGATTGACACAGTGACTTCCATGGTGGACTTGAGCTTGGTGTGTGAGAGGTTCAAGTTCCTATCTGTTGTTGGTGTTCACAGGGCCGCTGTGAGTCATCGTAACCTTACAGCACGTAGGAACCGCAGCAGCAACAAAGTTCAGGACAGATCAGCCCCTGATTCTGCCCCCGACCATACCTTTGCTTCCTTGCCCTTCGCAGATGTTGCTGTTTTTAACAAAGTCAAGATCTGTGTCAACCCTGTGTGTCACGGTGCCATTTTCCCAGCGGGGTGTATTAACTTTCCTGTGTCACATTATCATGGGCATTCTTACAGAGTTTCCAGGGCATTGGGGTGACTTGGTGATAAGGAACTGTGCTGCCTATAGTAAGGTACGCAGTTCGAATCCACAAGCTGCTTCATGGGAGAAAGATGCGTGGTCTCCTCCTGTGTGATTTACAGCCTCTGAAAACCCACTGGGGCTCAGCTGTGGATCAGTTCCGACTCTTGTACACACAGCACAATATTTCATACTTTCTTCTGCTCTTAACACTCTTGGTAGATGAGTATGTAGTGTAAATGGAACTTTCTTTCATATAAACTAGGAAGCCACATTGTTTCGCTTGACTGGATTTTAGAGATAATCTTCGCTTCATTGCAGTAGTCTGGAATTGAACCTGCTTTGTCTGTGAGACATGTCTGAACCTGGGAAATAAGAGTTCATGTTCCTCTCAAGTGAAACTTGTTTTGTTTTTTTTTTTTTTAAATACTTCTTTATTAAGAGAAGCCACATGTCATTCAGTTTGGTTAAAATGTATCAGTCATTGGGGTTTGAGGTTTTTCTAAAAGAATTCTTTGAATCATCTGGTGGTTTCATTGTTCACTTGTGATTTTTTCCCCCTCTATTGCGGCAAAAATACAGGAAATCAAGATTTTTTTTCCCCTTTTTTTCCTTCTGTACTATTGCATTGGATCTGACTGGCACAGGACGAGATTGCCCCCTCCTTCTCCAGTGGAGCATCTGATGGATTTGAACTGCGTGCCTTTGGGATTTTAGCGCAGCTTCTTACCACTAGGCCACCAGAGCTCCAAGATGTTTCTTTTTAAAAAAAATTAAAATGAAACCAAGTTTAACTTTGGAGATTCCAAACTGCATTATCTCTCTTTCCCTCCTTATGTGGAAAATATATCAGGACATAACTCCTTCAGCATTTATTCCATGTTTAGTTCAGTGACGCTTGAGTGCATTCTTTATGTTGTGTCACGTTTCTTGCTATCTCTACCCAAATTGTTTCTCTATCCTTGACCTTGGGCTGCTTGTTAGGTGCTGTCAAGTTCATTCTGACTATGGAGATCCCATGTGACAGAGTAGAATGGTCCAATAGGGTTTTCTAGTCTATTGATTGTAAAGAAGCAGATCTCCAAACTTTTCTCCTATGGACCCTCTGGGTGGGTTCAAACTACCAACCTTTCTGCTAATAACTGAGCACTTAACCACTGTGCCACTGGGACTCCTTGACCTCACTGCTCTTTAACTGGCTTATCTGTTGTTCAGAGTTACTGTTGTTGGTTACAGGACTTTCCAAGAGTGTAGTGTTCTTCCTTAGAAAGTGGAGAGTAAAAATACCATTTGATCCAGCAGTCCCACTATGAGGTACGTATCCCAAAGAAATAAACTGTGACCCAAGCTGGCATACTCAGACCCACGTTGATTGTATAACAGCAAAGAGTTAGAAACAACCCAACTATCCATAAATGGATGAGTGATAACTATAGAAATGGGAATAGCCAGCATGATGGAGTATTATGCATCACTGAAAAATAATAAATATTCTGTGAAATACAGCACAGCATGGATGAATCGAGAGCGAATTATGCTGAGTAACGTAAATCATTCCTAAAAGTATAAGATGTTATAAGATGGCTAATATTAAAAGGTTAAGGAAGGGAGCTCTGGTGGCCTGGTGGCAAGATGCTGCACTGCAATCCCAGAGGTACGCGGTTCAAATCCACCAGATGCTCTGCTGGAAAAGGAGGGGCAAACTCCTGTACCAGTCAGATCAGATTTGACGGTACACACACACACACAAATAGTAAAATAAAACTTTTTTAAAACGCTAAGGAAAAGGGAGCCCTGGTGGCCTAGTGGCAAGAAGCTGCACTGCAATCCCAGAGGTATGCGGTTCAAATCCACCAGATGCTCTGCTGGAGAAGGAGGGGCAATCTCTTCCTGTACCAGTCAGATCCGATTTGATGGTACACACACACAAAATAATAAAATAAAATAAAAAATTAAGGAAAAAAAAGCTAAGAAAAGGTTTATAGTCAGAATCAGTCTTGGAAGATTAACAGGTATGAGAAGGGAGGGAGAGGGGAGCAAAAATGAATGGTTAAGTTGGATGAAGGGGACATAAATAAGAGTGTTATTAGACATTATGATGGGTTATATGAATTCTTTTTAATGAATAAAAAAATTAGTGCCATAGGCACGACTTAGTAAACATGAAAATAGAAATCAAAGAACGCAAAGCACCAGCAGTGCCTTTGAGCACATCTGCCCAGGAAGCAGGGAGCTCTGGTGATTCATCTGATGGATAAGGAGTTGTGCTATCAACACAAAGGCAGGCGGTTCGAATCCACCATCCGCTGTGAAGTGAGAAAGATGGGCACACTCCTATAGGATTTTCAGCCTCTGCAAACTGGCTGGAGGGTCAGCTCTGAGCCGATTCTGACTCAACGACATTGGGTGGAGTTGGGTTACCCTCTGAAGCACTGGGGGCCTGTGTCAGGCTAGGCAGGTGCGCACAGGTGTGAGTGAGCAGAGATAGTCTGCACTGTCCACACAAGAGGAGACCCTACTGAAATCTGGTCATAGTCCCAGTCAGATTGTTTTGCCAGAGAAAAAGTATTTTCGGTCCACATCTGGCCATTTAGAACAGGAACTGAGAAAAGCTTTCCTTTTTTTTTTCTCCTTCAAAGAGCCAGATGGTAAATATAAAGCCTTTGAGGGCTGGACTGCACAGGGTTCTGGCTGCAGTTTCTGCTGGGATTTCTCAGCCCTGCCATCCCAGCCTGAAAATACCCAGACAGTAGTAAACCTAGGAGGGGCTGTGTTCCAGTAAAACTTTATCTATAGAGATAGCTTGCTGGCCAGGGCTATTGTTTGCCATTTGATGATTTAGATCCTAGGCATGCACTGATTGTAACGCCTCATCTCATGTATGTCTTTGACTCGATACAGTGTTAATTCCATTTGGGTGTAACAGTTCCAAAGTCTTGATGGGAGACCTGGATAGGATGTAGCAAATGCCGCTTCTTCCTGAATGCAGCAACATAAGTATCTTTGTCTTCTTGTACCCAAAGTGATCCATCCTCCCTTCCAGGCTGCAGTACATAAATTAACCTTTAATGTGTATGTCTCAAAAGTCATAATAAGCGCCTGTGTTTGTGTATGTGCTGTATTTTCTATCCACACAAGTTTACTGTATAACAGTGTGCGCCTTAGCTCACAGGAAGCAGCACTCAAACTCACGTGAACTGCACGTTTCTTGAGTGTGCCAGCATTCTTTCTTGGCTTAATTTTTCTTTTGAAAGTATTCCTGCAAAGTGCATCCCGCCCAGAACAAGAGGCTTAGTGACAGCAGCAGCAAGAGATGGAGGTGGAGGATCAGTTTGGAAAGTTATTAAATAACAGAAACGTGAGAAATCGGTGGACACTGTTGGCCATGATGTAGACGTGTCACACTGGACAGTCACAGTGGTGAGCGAAAATAAGAAATTCTCTAGACTGGCAGAGATGCAGCTCTGTGGCCAAGGAAAATACTTAAACAAAAACAACAACAAAACCCAACAAAAGAATGAAACAGGACAACCCAAATAAACCCCTAAAACGTGAAACAAAATCTACTCATTACTGTGAGGTCAGAGCGGACTCATAGCTGACTGTCTGTTGAGTATCTGGGGCTTTTCCAGATTTGCATGCAAGGAAATTGCCCAGTCTATCCCCTTTGGAGCCTTTGGTGTGTTTGAACTACCACCATAAAGCTCAGTCTTTGTGGTGTTGTGAAATGCTGTCATGTTGCCTGTGACTCATAGTGACCCTATGTGTACAGTAACTCTAAAGCTTGCCCTGTCCTGAGCCAGTCTCACTGACTCTGACACACCAATCCCCTTTGCCCTAGTTTCTGTATCAAATCCATCTCATCCAGGGTCTTCCTCTCCTGCGCTGTCCCTTCTGAGCATGATGTCCTTCTCCAAGGATCGGTCCCTCCTGGCCACATGCCCAATGTATGTGAGATGGAGCTTCAAAATCCTAGCCTCTGAGGGGAAACTTGGTTTCACTCTCTCCAAGACAGAACTATTTGTTTTCTTGGTGGTTCATGGTATGTTCAAGACTCCTCAACTTCAGCGCCACAACTTGAGGGCATCAATTCTTAAATGTCATCCTTAGTCTTTGTCTAGGTCTCTAATCCATAGCAAGGCATTGCAAAGATCATGGACTGGATCATTCACACCTTCGTCTCTAGATTGACATCATTGCTTCTCAGTATTCTGGAAAGGTCCCTGACAGCAGATTTTCCCAGTGCAGTTTGTCTTTTGATTTCCTGATTCCTGGCCAGTCTTTGGGTTAGCTGCCAGGCTCCCTGTGGTTGTTGCACGATCCTGTCAAGTCAGCGGTGATGCATATTGACCTGTGAACAAGACGTCTGCACCTCACTCTCTCCTGCACCATCCTCATGCATGATCTCTGTCCTGTCCAGTTCCACTCTGGTCATCACTGTGTCAGTCCGTCTCATTGACAGCCCATCATCTCATTGTGAGTCTTCCTGTCTTTTGCCAAAACTCTATCCTTTCTGAGTATGATGTCTATCTGTTTTCCAGCATGGAGACTGGTTCCTTTGAAAAGATGCTCAAAGAAAATGCCCAAAATAATTGAGACGAACTTTCCCCATCCTTGCCTCTCAGGAGCACTCTGATTGCACTTCTTCAAAGACAGATGCTTTTGGCAATCCATGGGATATTGATACTGACATATTGATAATAACATCTCTTCATCAGTCTTCCTTACTCATTGTCCAACTTTCAGATCCAGAGGAAGCAATTGAAAATTCCGAGAGCTCCTTATAGACCATGTCTGCACTTGAGGGACCTGTATCAAATATGGAGAAATTAATGACATGGATTAGGGACCAAACTCAAAAACTAATCCTTCCTACTCCGTTGATGATCACTGGTGAGGCCTGAATCTAGTTCTAGATGTTCATTTCAAAACGAAACTGACAGGCTCGGGCTGTGATACAGTGCTCGTACAGTGTCCAGATCACATAATGTCCCAGGACACAGACTCTGTGCCGGGCCTCGTTGTTAACAGATTTTTAATGCAGAGGGAACCTACCATTGTTTCACATCCTCTTTTTAGTGTTTTAGATTAAAAAGAAAATCCTAAATTTGTTAAAAAACTTTTTTGTTGTTAGGTGCCATTGAGTCGAGTATGACACAATCCTGTGAACAGAAGATCTGAACCCTGTTCTATCCTGGGCCATCCTCACCCTTCCCAACACACAACATCCCATTACAGCAGTCACCGTGCCAGTCCACCTGGGTTGAGGGTCTTCCTCTTTACAAAATAGCTAGTAAAGCAGCAAAATGCTTTAAAACACAAATATAACATACAGGTGTTTAGGGACTACATACAGTGTGTAAAGAGGTGCGCCATTGAGGCTGGGATTTTTTTGAACCTGAATGGGAACTTGGGGGTTGAGAGTCAGCTTTCACTTTGGTTTTCCTTAAATCTCATCACCCTCACCCCCCAGACAGTGACCAGAGTCATGGGGAAAAGATGGGTTTATTATTTACCTTGATAAAAGGAGTCACTTGTGCTTCAGGCTGAACCCCAGGGCTGTTACGGTGTTCCTGTCTTTGAGACATTTTCTGCAAGGCTGTGTGGTGGGCGGGACATGCATTTTTTTAATTGGTTTTTTACGTTGTGTTTTTTACATGTTGTTGTTATGTCATTGAGTTGCCTGAAACTCAAAACAACCCTATGCACAATGACTCTGAAGCCTGCCCTGTCCTGAGCCAGTCTCACTGACTCCGACATACCTACCCTCATTGCCCCAGTTACTGTATCAGTTCCTCTCTTCTGGGGTCTTCCCCTCCTGCACTGTCCCTTCACCCTTCTGAGCATGGTACCCTTCTCTAAGGACCAGTCTCTCCTGGCCACATGTCCAAAGTACACACCTTAATCTCTAGACTGACAAATGTTGCTTCTCAGTACTCTGGAAAGGTCCCTGACAGCTGATGTACCTAATGCAATTCGTCGATTCCTGACTGCTGGTGCCAAAGTGTTGATTGTGGAGCCAGGCAAGCTGTAACTGTTAACAACCTCAGTCTGTTCTCCATCCATCATGCACATTTGTACATGTACTTTGTGTTTTAGACAATCATTCGTATACATTGTACTTTATATGATTGATTCCCATTGTTCTTTGCCTTTTGTCACCCCATCTTTTCAAGCCTCCATCAAACCTGTACCTTTATTTCAAGCCCTCTCCACCCAGTAAATTAATTTTTTTCCTTCTTCTTGTGTGTGTACCATGGAGTCAGATCCACCTGGTACAGGAGGAAATTGCTCATCCAGTGAAGCATCTGGTGGATTTGAACTGTGTGCCTTTGGGATTGCAGCTCAGTTTCTTGCCACTAGGCTACCACAGTTCCCTCAACTAACCTCTTCTATCCATGTGATTTTTCCCTCTGCTTCCTTCCCCTTTTACTGCCCCACTTCTCTCCTTTCCCCTGTGAGCATTTGTACACATCTTACTCAGCTGACAATGTCACTGTTGTTGTGTGCTGTCAAGTTAGAACCAACCCATAGCTGACCCTCCAGTGGGTTTTCAGAGGCAATTAATTACATGGAAGGGGATTGTCCATCCTTCTCCCACAGAGTAGCTGGTGGATTCGAACTGTGCACCTTTGGGATTGCAGCTCACTTTCTTACCACTAGGCCACCAGAGCTCCCTTACTCACTTTACTCTTTTCAAAATAGCAGCCTTAGACAGTATTTACTTGTCCTTATGTGACTGAAATATTTTACTTAGCAAAATGCTGTCTCTCAAGGAATGGGCACCATGTACCATCTCTAGGCCTCTGTTTCCCCTTCCGTAGGAAGTGGACAGAGATGGTTCAGGCCACTTCAGGGAAGCAAATGAAAGGGCCTCCTTCCTCTTCAGTTCACTTAAATAAACATAGTGAAGGGGGATATCACAGGTCCCAAACAACCTGTATTGTCAAGAAGGGAATTCCCCCACCCCCACTCCAGTTCCTTCGGACTTTTTGAAGGAGTCCCGGTGGTCAGTAGTTAAAGTGCTCGAGTGCTGACTGAAAGGTTGGTGGTTTGAATGCACCGGCTTCTCCGAGAGAGAAAGACGTGGAAGTGTGCTCTCATAAAGATTGTTGTTGTTGTTGTGTACCATAGAGTTGGAACTGACCTCTAGCTGACCCTCCAGCGGGTTTTCATTTATTTATTTTATGTGGGTACCGTCAAATTGGATCTGACTGGTACAGGAGGCAATTGTTCCTCCTTCTTCAGCAGAGCATCTGGGGGATTTGAACCGCGTACCTCTGGGATTGCAGTGCAGTTTCCTGCCACTAAGCCACCAGAGCTCGCCATCGAGCGGGTTTTCAGGGGCGGTTAATCACATGGGAGTAGATTGCCCGTCCTTCTTCCGCAGAGCAGCTGGTGGCCTCGAACCATGTACCTTTGTGATTACAGCACAGCTTCTTGCAACTGGGCCACCAGAACTCCTCTCCCCCCAAAGATTACAGACTTGGAAATCGCAGGGGGCAGTTCTGCTCTGTCCTATAGGGTCTCTGTAAGTTGAACTGACTGAGTGGGGTTTGGGTTTGGGAGATTTCTAAGCTCGAGCTCAGGAGAAGAGCTGCACATGGCTAGGCAGGCCCCTCTTTGTCCTGATTCCAGACCTGTCGTCTGAGATGCTGTCCTCCCCTGCACCAAAGCCCAGGAAAACTCTCTGAGCACATGCTCGGCTCCCAGGAGCGTCGGTGAGCTAGTTAGCCTCCAAGGCAGGTCACCCCGTTTCAGGGCCTCCACAGATTGGATGAGCCAGGGCCAGGCTGGACCTCTGTCACATGGCATCACATGAGAAAAGTCACCAGCCGCTGACCGGCTTGTCTCTGGGAGTTGTAAGTCTTGGGATGGGAAGTTAGTTGACCTGCTTAGTTGACATTCCAGTTACGGTGCCGTTAGGTGCCATCGAGTTGCCTCTAGCTCTTAGCGATCCGATAAACAACAGATCTGAACCTTGTGCTGTAGTGTTCCATCCTCATCCTCTCAGATGTGCTCAGGTCCGTTGCTACAGTCACTGTGTCAATCCATCTTGTTGGGGGTCTCCCTCATTAAGATGTGTCTTCTTTCCCCAGTATCCCCAAAGGGTTTGAAGCCAAAAGCCGAGGCAGCAAGAATGACCCAAAAGGGCGAGGCAGCCCGAAAGAGAAGACCCTGGACTGTGGTCAGATCGTCTGGGGTCTGGCCTTCAGCCTGTGGCCCTCGCCGCCCAGCCGGAGGCTCTGGGCACGCCACCAGCCACCAGTGCCCGACATCTCCTGCTTGATCCTCGCCACGGGGCTCAACGATGGGCAGATCAAGATCTGGGAGGTACAGACAGGTAAGTAACTGCTGGCCAGCTTGGGGTCCCATCTGGCTAAACGGAGCCCCCCCCATTCACACTGACCAAGGGTCCCTTCTACACCAGGGCTCCTGCTCCTGAACCTTTCCGGCCACCAGGATGTCGTCAGAGACCTGAGCTTCACACCCAGTGGCAGTTTGATTCTGGTTTCCGCATCTCGGGATAAGACTCTTCGCATCTGGGACTTGAATAAACACGGTATGTGACGGAAAGACTAGCTGGCTCAGTGGTAAGGGGCTGGGCTGCCAACCTAAAGGAACACAGTTCAAATCTACCTGCTGTTTTGTGAGAGAAAGATGGAGTATCTCTTCCCTTGCATTTACTGCCTCTCGGGTCAGCTATGAGTCAGTTCTGACTTGGTGGTACACTACAACAACAATTTGTCACTTCATTTTCTCTCTCTCCCCCTCCCATTGCTGTTGAGTTCATTTTTTACTCCTTCAGTGGGTTTGCAAGGCTATAAATGTCGAAGGAGCAAAATGCCTTTCTCTCCCGAGGGGTGGCTGGTGGCTTTGAACTGCCAGAGAAGCGTAGTCTTTGAATTAGCAGTGCAGCTCTCAGCAGCCTGTGCCACCAAAACTCCCTTCCACTCATTGCCATCAAATCAGTACTGACTCATGGCTGACCCAGCGTGGGCTTTCTGAGGGAGGGGATGGCTGGCTTTGTCCCTCAGAGCCCCAGGTGGATTGGAACCACCAGAGGAGCACACACAGCCTTGGGGTTACCAGCACAAGTCCCCACACACTGGACTATCAGAGTGCCCCTTCTGTTTTACCTCTGTCCTTTTTATCTAGAATAGAGTTTCTCTGCTTCCCACCTCCCAGCATCACTTCCTAGGGAGCCTTTTTCCTTAATCACTAACCCCCCTGAGGTTTTACTACTACCAAAACCACAACCAGCAGAACTTAATGCTGAGGTGGGGGGTGGGGGGGGCGTTGATTCTGACTCATAGCAACTTGATGTGACAGAACTGTCCCATGGGGTGTCCGAGGCTGCAAATCTTTAGGGAAGTGGACTGACACATCTTTCTCCCTTTGCTGATGGGTTAAAAAAACACATCACTGATCTTTTGACTAGAAGCCAGTGCTCTGACTGCTGTACCACCAGGGCTTCTCCTCAATGCTCAGATACACTAATATCTGTTTATGTCCCAAACGTATACCTGAGCTGTGTGTGTGTGTGTGTGTGTATGGATGGATGGATGGATGGATGGATGGATAGGTAGGTAGATAGATAAAGTTATGCTGCCAAGTCAAAGGTGGGTGATTTTAATCTATGGCCCCCAGGCCTGGTTTTAATTGTTTTTGGTCAAACATTCTTCTAAGTGGCATGGCACTGGTATATCCATTTGCTGTACCGAGGTAATTTGTGGTTGCTGTGATGCTAAAGACTGTAACACTGATGTGTCAAATGCAACAATAGTTACCCATTGTGAACAGTGTTTGGTGGAGCTCCCCAATTAAAACAAGCTTGGAAGCAGGAGTGGCATCCACTTCCAAAACAGCTTGCCTCCGGAAACTCTATGAACTTCCAGAAACGATGACAGTTACACAAGTATTCAGGTCTTTTGTTCATAGGGTCATTATGAGTTGTCTATGACTCGACAGACTTAACAACAATACAAATATGTGTGTGTGTGTATGTATATATACATGTATGTTTTTAGGTATATGTAGGTATATGTGTGTGTATACATGTAATTTTGACCCTTGTCCTAGGGATCTCCTGCTGCTATAACGCAAGTGAGTGAGTGGCTTTGAAAACAATTTCTCTCAGGTTAGGAGACTGCTGTTAGGTGCCATTGAGTGAACTTTGACTCCTGGTGACTCTGTGAATAAGAGAGCTGAGCCCCACCCTGTTCTGAGCCGTCCTTACTGTCTCCGACATGCACAAGCCCATTGCTGCGGTCTCTCCGTCAGTCCATCTGCTTGAGGGCCTTCCTCTCTTTCTCTGACCCTCCACTTTCCCCAACATGTTGTCTTTTCCGAAGGACTGGCCCCTTCTGACTGTCAGGGTGCTGGTTCTAGGGAGGGCTTCTTCTCTCTGTCAGCTCTGGAGGAAAAGTTCTTAATCTCTGAACTCTGGTTCCTGCCCAGGAGCCATCTTCATGTGGCCTGGCATCTTCCTCCTTCTCTGCTTTTCTAATCTCTGTTACAGCTCCTAAGAGATTCATTTAAGTCACACCCTAAGCCTTCATTTGGTTTATTTAGACTAATAAATAACCCACCCTCAAATAAAATCAGAACCGCAGGCATCGAGGTTAAGATTTATAACACATATTTGAGGGAACACTGGTCAACCCATTCTAACCCCCAAGGACCCAGCTGTGCCTCTTTTGACGATACTTCCCCTGTTGGAAATGCGTGATGTAGAGCAAGATTTCTCAGCCTCAACGCTGTTGACGTTGTGGGCTGGGTGGTTCTTTGTGGTGAGCGCTGCCCGTGAGTTCTACCAGCGAAATGCCGATAGCACCACTTCCTGTTGGGCAAGCCCCAAATATCTTCACCCATTACCAGATGTTCAGTGGGGGACCGAGTCCTCCCAGGTGGAGAGAAACAGGCTTGGAAGGAATGAATGTTGTGTCTTTTCTGTTAAAAACACAGGAGTACTTAGAAAGGCAAAATTAGGCTAGAGAAGGGTCAACTTTTTTGGGGGGTGGGGGGATTTGTCTGGAGTTAGAATTAAGTACAAGAGTGACCCAGAAGGAAATTAGAGATGTCATAGACTTCGATCCTTAACGGGAAGAGAAACCTAAGACCAAACCCCATTGTGATCAAGTCGATTGCGACTTATCGAGACCCTGGGGATAAAGCAGAGCTGCCCCATAGTGTTTTCCAGGGCCTGACGGAAGCAGTTGCCACATTTTTCTCCTTGGTTGAGTTTGAACCGCCCACCTTCTCGAAAGCTAAGTACCTGAATCATAACACCACCAGGGCTTCTGCGAAAGTACTGCAGAGATGAGACGGTTACTTTCCCTTGTCATTTCTCCCCAGAGTGGTCAGGAGCGGAGAGGTTGGGGACAGGTGGAAAGGAGAAATGATGGCGTGGAGACTTGGTGACAAGGCACGGTCACTACCTCAAGAGGGTTCATGCATGAGCTGTAACTCACCCAGCATCCCCCAATCACAAGGGGTCCTCTCCCCTGACTGCTTAGAAACGAGCTTAAGCACGTGTCCTGTAAACTGGTCCTGCTATTATGGCTGCCCTTCAGTCCTGGGGTCGCCGGGAGGGTGGGGATGGCTGCTGCCTGGGAAGGCGTCTCAGAGGGAGAGATGTTTCACTGTGTGCATCTTCCAGGGAAGGTGTTCGAAGCGCGTGCGCGCGCACAAGCTCTCTTGCTCTATCTTTATCTCTTTCTCTGTCTCCCTGTCTCTGTCTCACTCCATTCAAGTATTTGGGTTCATTTTGCAAAATGAAAAATGGACTCATTATTTTTTTTTAATCTATATGGAATTAAAAAAAAAGTTTTATTAATTCATTGCACATTTTTTTCCTTCCCACCCACCCTCCCCAGTCCACTTTTCCACTGCACCCTTTGTCATATGATTGTTGTCATATTACCTCATCATAAATTCCTTTCAGACTGTTCTTCTCCTCATCTGCCCCAGTGCAGTATTTATTATCTATCCACTCATTTTTGTATTCTCCCCTCAACCCCTTATGTCAGTCCTGTTTTATAACAGTGATGTTATGCAGTATTTGTCCTTTTGTGACTGAGATATTTCACTCAGCATAATGTACTCCAGGAGTCATGATTTTCATGTTTATTTTCCCTGCAAGTTGCTTTGTTCCCCCCCATTAAAGAATACCCCTTGAAAAGTCTGTAACTCTAATAACCATCTGCATTAAAAGTGTGGATAGACCATCATTTGTTCATCCTTTTCCCCTATGAATGGTTATTTGGTTTTTCTAAAAACAAAGATGTGGAGCAATTAAGTGACTAAATCCAATTACGTGCTGAGCAAGCCAGGCTTTGTCTGGCTCCAGGACTCTATCCCTACTGGCCCTGTCTGCTCACCCTGCCACCCTAGCCACCCAAGGAGTGCGTGGGGTTGGATGCTTGTGATGATGGGGAAACTGCTACAGAGGAGGGAGAATTGATGATGGACCAGTCTCAAAGGCTGCCTTTCTCTGGGAAGGCTGCTTCAGAGCACTGGAGAGTGGAGATCTGAAAAAAAGACTGTTGGCTGTGACCCATGAACACCTAATTTATATGCCTCCCAGTCCTAGATTTGCTGATGAAATGGCAGGTGGTCATTGCTGTTTGATACAGACATTATTTTAGTAGGTTTGGGACGTTTAAGTGACAAATCTCAACCACATTTGTCTACATTAAAAGTGGGCTTTGGGGCTTTGGGGCTTTGGGCTTTAGACTTTAGCAAAGGCACCCTGGTGATAACCACAGTTAAAGCGCATGTCTGCTACCCAAAAAGTCAGCAGGAGAGCAGATAAGCCATCTTGTTTTCCTTTAAGATTTCTAATCTTCGTCCATTCTGGAAGGCAGTTTGGCATTTCCTCAGAAAGCTATAAAATACATAGATATCCCATATGACCTAACTATTGTACTGTTAGGAATATATCCTAAGGAAATGAAAACTGAGACATGAATGGAGAAATGGACACCTGTGTTCACAGTAGCGTTATTCACAATAGCAGGAATGTGGAAACAGCCCAGATGCCCATCAGCTAACGAATGGATTGAGAAATTGTGGTACCTTCATGCAGTGGAATACCATGCAGCACCAAGAAACAACGATGATGTGAAATACTCTGTATTCTAGAGAGCATTATGCTGAGTGAACTAACTCAGTCTCATAAGAACAGATACTGCGTAAGACTGTTACTGTGAAAATAGAAGAACAGCTAGTAAGAAGTGTATAAATGTTCTGAAGGGGAAGGCAGGAGGGGTTGGAAATAGGGGAAGGATGGAAATGAGTAGGCTCACAGCGTTTAGAGGATGGATTAGAGGAAGTGCAAGAATGGAAAAGATTCAGTGAGGACTTGAAAAGACAGTGTGATAATAGACGTAAGACCAACAGTGATTAATTATATGGGATACAATGTATATGAGTGATTGTGTGAAAGACTGTAAAGGAGGGATTTTCTAGAAGAACACAATGTATATGAACGAAACACAACGTAAATGTATTCATAATAAAAACTGTTTAAATAAAAAAAGGTTTCCGTTCTTGGAAGCCCTGTGAGGGGTGGGCAGCTCTGTTCTGTTCTGCAGGGTTGCTGTGAGTCCCGGGAGACAGTTGTGGTTTTGGGGGTCTCAGTTTGTAGAGGAGCAGATTACTGTCCTTATTATGGGGGGGGGGTATTCACTGCCAACCCTCTGTTTTTCTGCTCTGTCATTTTAAGAGCTGGCTCACCATTTGCATCTCTTTTTTTGTTTGTTTTCCTGCCAGGTAAACAGATCCAGGTGTTATCGGGCCACCTGCAGTGGGTGTACTGCTGCTCCGTCTCCCCGGACTGCAGCATGCTGTGTTCTGCGGCTGGAGAGAAGTCTGTGAGTCCCAGACGTTATGGATTGTTTTCTCTGTGGCTTTAGCTCTGTGAGGTCTGGGAGGGATGGGGCAGTTGTGTTCTCTCAGTTAACATGGCCATCTCACATTTATCTGCAGACCAGCCCTGACAGAAGGTACCAGGGGCCTGTCTCCCATAGGGCCCTTTTGATTTGCATTTTAACATGAACCAAAAAAAAGAGAGAGAGAAAAAGTGTTTGAAAGTAGGTCGCTCCCCACATTGGAGGCTGTGTCCCTTTACAGAGGGGTAATATGGGACAGTGTTTTTACCTTATTTTCCTCTGAGCAACTGAAGCCTTTGTAAACTTGCAACCCATCATGGATGCAAATGTCCCTTCAACTGATGGAGGGTGTTAGGTGCCAGGGAGTTGGCTTCTACTGATAGTGACACACACACCCCCACCCCCCCACCCCCCCATGGACCAGAGAATAAAGCCCTGAGCCACTGTGTCCAAGCCCATTGCTGCAGCTGCTGTCAGTCTGTCTGTCTGTCTGGTAAGGCTCCTTGCCCTTTCATTGACCCTCCCCTTGACCAAGCATTAAGCTTTGCAGTTCAAATCAGAAAATGTATAGTTACATGCTGACCTTAGCTCTGAAATCCTGGGTTTGTCAGTGTTTGTTTGTTTGTTTTGTTTTTTTAAGAAGACTGGAAACCCATTTGAGAACAGGTTGTGTTTGCATTTTGTGTTTGCATTGAGTCCTTGGTGCCGACTGACCTGCGGAAGCAGTCGCTGTCTGGTCTAGCCCAGTTGGTTAATCATTCATCTGTGGTTTGGAGCTTGGTGTAACTAAGTTTCTCTTAAAGGAAAGAAATGCAAATCCCAGGGTTTTTTGTTTAATGATTCTCGAAAGGTTTGGACTGAAAAGCTGGGTCAGACTTAGGGTCTCTGAGCAGATGTCGCTGGCATGATAAACGAGGTAGGGCTGGGGTTTAAATGACAAGTCAGGGCGCCACTGCTTTGTGGGTAGCCCTGGAGCTCACCTGTGTCCCCTGCTTTTGATTTTAAGTAGAGAGAGAAGATAGCAGTTAGCATAGGTCCTCCCTGATGCATTCTACCCGTTTTATGTTATTGTAAACCTGGATCTGTGCCTACTGTTACTCCATCTTTTCAAGTCCCCATTTGAACTTTCCTAATTCCTTAACTCCCTTCCTCCACCTCCCAAACTGCCATCTCTGTGATTTCCCCTCCCTCCTCTCTCACCCATCCCATTTTGCAAACAGGGCTTTGAGGGTCCCTTCCCTGCAGCCTCTATAGGATACATTTCAGCTGACACTCTTTCTGAGGGTGGCATGGTTTATTCCACTTCAGCGTGCACTCCGGAGTCTATGGGTCTTACAAAGATTGGCAAAAGCTTGGCTGCTCTTGGGAAGGCTGCAGCTTTGAGGTCTCCCAGGTGTGCTGTGAAAGAAAGGCCTAGCAAGCTACTTCTGAAAAATCAGCCTCTGAGGCCCTGTGGAGCGCAGGTCCAATCTGACCCACCCGAGGGCATCGAGTTGCCATAAACATGACAGTGGCCAGGTTAATGTGGCTGCGTGAACTGGTCTCAGGGTTGTTACCTGTGGAATCCACACTGTTCTTTTTTTTTCTACATAAGAAATTTGAGATTAGCACACCATAATTATTGAACCATGACAATTCTCTTAATATTTTATATTACTCAGTTATAAAATATTTTCCTTATGAGCCCTTCAACTGACTTTTAGATAATACATCTTTCTATTTATGAAAATTTTAACAGTTGGAATACTTTTCTTTTATCAGCTGCAATGGGCAAGAAATAATGCTAATATTTAATAATCTTTCAGTTAAAAAAGAAACATCACAAAATAGGTCACTGAGAACTTTTTGCTGCAAAGACGAAAGTGACAGTTTGTCATAAGAGTTTCATATGCTTTAGGAAAAAATATTTCCTTGGTCCACTTTCTTCTGAATTCAAACTATTATGTAGACATTAAAAAGTAGAGTTTATTTACATGGCACAGTGTACTTCCATGATATATAAAACAAGGCAATAATAAAGCATATACAGATAGCCATTTTCTGTGAGGTATCTCTGATATACAGTTTTATATAATATCACAACTAACTACTGTACTGTTGCACATTACAATAACTGGTAAAATACTAGAACAAATTAAGTATATAAAATTTAACATTAATATTGGCCATATTTACCTAAAATGCCAACATAGGATAATAGTTTTATATTTTTTTAATTCATATACATTGTGTTTTATACAATCTTCCATTTACATTGTTTCATACAATCATTCATATACATTGTTTTACATTATTTTTCATACTAGTTTATTTACAAAATTCAAATACATTGCTTTTCACACCAGATCCTTCCCATTTCCCTCACCCACCCCCATCAAATTGTGCAACTCCCTGATTAATCCTCCCCCGCCTACTCCCTACTCACACATCCTCATCACTCTGTTTCCACCCCACCTTGGATCCTCATACTCATTCTACAATAATGGTTTTATGCAGTATTTATCCTTATGGGACTGAGTTAGTTCACTCAGCATAATGCTCTCCAGTCCCTCCCAAGTTAGGTAATAATTTATAAAATCATTGCTCCTGCGTGCTGCATAGTATTCCGTTGTCCACATTGTTCTTTGTTGTGGTCTAGATGGCACGCTGGACAGAGCGGTAGAAACGGGAGGGGAGGGCTGGATGCCCTGGGTATTACCTAGCTGTGGGCTGTGGGACAGGTGAGGGGAGTGTGGGTTTAAACACTTGGTTCCTGTCTCGTTGCTTCTCCAAGGTCTTTCTCTGGAGCATGAGGTCATACACACTCATCCGGAAGCTCGAAGGCCACCAGGGCAGTGTGGTCTCTTGTGACTTCTCCCCCGACTCAGCCCTGCTTGTCACCGCATCTTACGACACCAATGTGATCATGTGGGACCCTTACACTGGCGAAAGGCTGAGGTCCCTCCAGTAAGGACTGAACCCTTGCTGAAGACTTCCTTGTGGGGTGATGGGCATATCTCCCTTGGAGTCTGGGGTCTGGGAAGGATGGCCAGGGGTGGGTGGGGTGGGAAATGCAGTGTCTGGGGCCATTTCTTAGCTGCCTTCTCTAAGGCAGCGAGAGAGGGGCACATGGGTCTCCAGTGTTCATCACAGTCTCTAAACCAGAGCCCAGTATCTTACTGATTACCGTCCTCATAAGTTCAGAATGATCCCCTCACCAAAAACCATCACCAGTCTGCTGTTTCCCTTGGCCTCTTGTTTCATGAAGTGAATAAGAGGCAGTCCTGCAATTACCACAGTTGTACAGTGGTAGTGCAGTGAGGGCTGACCTACTTTGTGTAAGGAAATTAGAGCCTTTGGTCCCCCCTGGAAGGCTCCCAGCACCTCCTTGGGCTCCCTTTTCTCTGGCTGTATAGTTGTATATTTTCAGCAGGGGCTCAGTTGAGAGTTGAGTCTTTTTGTGGTTGGGTCTCCTGCCTGGAGGTGGGGTGGTGGTCACTTCTGGCCTCCCATTGGGTGTCTTTCCTCCTTAGCCACACCCAGCTCGACCCTCCGATGGATGACAGTGATGTCCACATCAGCTCGCTCAGGTCCGTGTGCTTCTCCCCCGAAGGCCTATACCTTGCCACGGTGGCAGATGACAGGTGAGCCCCCCCCCACCCCGAGTGCCACATTGTCTTCTGGCCCGGTCCCTGTCAGCTCTGATGTAAACATGCCTCTCTGTTTCTTTCTCTTGACATCTAGACTGCTCAGAATCTGGGCACTGGAACTGAAAACGCCAATCGCATTTGCTCCCATGACCAATGGCCTCTGCTGCACATTTTTCCCACATGGTGGCGTGATCGCCACAGGGTATGTGCAGGGACCCAACAGATGGGCGGTGGTGTGTGTTGTGTTTACCATGTCTCTCTGTGCGGCAGGGGGGGTGGGGGGGAGGCATCTCAGATAGTCTTGCCTTTGAAGATACCTTCAACATGACATAAAATCCTGACAGTCCATTCTGCCAGTGTTGTTGTCATTGCTGTTTGGTGCCCTCGAGTATGACTCATAGCGACCCTCTGAACCCTGTCCTATCCTATGCCATTCTCAGCATCTCTGACACACTTTAGCCCATTGTTACAATCACTGTGTTTTTTTTTTTAAATACTATTGTGTGTGTGTACCGGTAAATCAGATCTTATTGGTATAGGAGGAGATTGTCCCTCCATCTCCAGCAGAGCATCTGGTGGATTTGAACCACGGGCCTCTGGGATTACAGTACAGCTTCTTGCCACTAGGCCACCAGAGCTCCCTTGTTAACAATCATTGACAATCCATCTTATTGAGGGTCTTCCTCTCCCTGACCCTCCACTTGCCCAGCATATCCTTCTCCAAGCACTGGCCCCTCCTGTAAAATGAAGTTTCCCCATCCTGGTCTCTGAGGAGCACCCTGGTTTCCACCTTTCCCGAGACATGTTTGCTCTTCCTTTTGGAAATCTGTGGAATATCCAGTGATTTTTATCCAGGGTTGCTCATTTCGTCTAAGTCTTTGACCTAAATATGCCTGACGACCTGCCGTTCCGACCACTTAATGGACTGGGTCCACAAGAAGGCAGCGCTTTTAAGAATTTATATAGGAGACCATTTAGGGCCACTAGAGGCCACCTCACAGATGGCATTTATAATTCAGCAGGTGGCACTCTTCGCTCGGTAAAATTTGAACTAATAGCTTGTCTGATCTGGAAAGGTCTGTGATGGTGGAGTATGCTCTGTTGAAAGCGTCCTGGCTTCTTAATTATTCAGCACTGTGGCCTTCCCGCCGTCTCCGGGCAGAGCTGCCCACCATTCTCCATGTTCGCTGCTGCTGCTGAAGTCGGTGGAGATGTGTCCACACTGTCACTCACCGGCTCCTCTTTTGTTTCAGGACCAGAGATGGCCACGTCCAGTTCTGGACGGCGCCGAGGGTCCTGTCGTCGCTGAAGCACTTATGCCGGAAAGCCCTCCGCAGTTTCCTGACCACATACCAAGTCCTGGCACTGCCGATCCCCAAGAAAATGAAAGAGTTCCTCACGTACAGGACTTTCTAAGCGGCCCCCCGTGGAGTCGTCCCCGCTCGCTCGGCGGTGGGCGCAGTCTTCCTGACAGAGGCGCAACTGGCATGAAAACGGGCCAGACGGCTGCTCTTGGATGGAAGTATTGTTTGGGATCAAGAGAATGTCGCAAAACCAGATTCCAATGGACAAGCCTTGGGTCTTGGTTCTCTGGCTAGGGCAAGGCACCAGGGGGACAGGACAGCCTTCCATTGGCTGCAGAACCCTGCCCTTCAAGCCCTGTCCATGCAACGCTGAGCTGTTCGTAGTTGTAAAGTGCAGTGGCTGGTGTAGTTTGGTGACAAAGTAGGTTGTCAGAGCCTTCTCTTGAGTGTCAGCCAAGCTGCGACACCTGGGTGATGGCTGTCAACGTTGGGTTTCTCATTTGAACACAGTGGGGGCCTGCTGAGAATTTTTTTTGTGCTGTGCTCAGCGTTGCTGTGACGGTGGCCTGTCCTGTCCTGTCCTTTCTGCGGCTGCCCTTTGGCCAACAGCATCATTCTCATGGAGCTGCTTGGTATGTTAGCGTCTCCAATTATAGGTGAAATCAGTGGGTGTGTTCTGGACTGATAAAAAAAGACACTATTGTTCATTCTCACTGTGGGGTGTGTGTGTGCGCATGGGCAGCAGAGGACAACCTGTGTAAGGTGACAGAAGGATGTATTCTTCAATTGCATGACCTTCGAAGCGGCCACTGGCTTTGCAGCTGTGGGCCGCCGATTTGCATCCTAATTTATTTGTTCTTTTTCTCAGCCGCTGTTAAGGTACAATTGTGGTGGTTGTTTTTGTTTTTTTCTTCTCAGTTATCTAAAAACCGTAGTCCTTGTGTCAAACCGTTCGGAGCTGTCTCTTGAATCTTGTGGAGATTTTGGTGTCGTCATCACATCGGTGAGATCTCTCTGTGCTGCTGAACTCGTTGGACTGACCAGTTTCAACTCCTATCCCCCCCCTTCACTTCGACGAGCAAAGAGCTCCTCATGGGCGCTGTTCCCCTTCGGTGGCGCCAGGTTAACCCAGCCAAGACGCTTCATTCCAGCAAAATCTGCCTTAGGAGATTTAATATATTTTAAATTATTTTAAAGAGACACGTGACACCGTATCCTTCGGCTCTCTTAATGGGTTCTCTGTAGAGATCGGTTTCTGTTTTGAGATTGTTAGAGGCGCTTCCTCTACCACCTCTGTTATTGAATTGTTTTCAAACTGAGGACCTTCATTGAAGGGGGGATAAAACATCAGTTAAAAAGCTTTTGGCTGTTTCCTTTTTTGTTCTGTGAAAAAGGAGGAAAAAAATAAATCCAACCCAACCACTTCTTAAAACAAGGCAGACAAGATGGCTAGTCATCTGCCACTGTTGGTGCCCTCGGGGAACAAGTCTTCTGGGAGTGAGTGGGGTCTCTCTTTCCAGAGAATTCCACCTCTGAGAGGAAGTCTCCTTGGGAATAGTTAGTATCTGTTTCCAGAGGTGGAAAGGGCTTGAATAGAACCACAAGTTGAGTAAACTAGCGTCTTTGCATCTGGCTAAGGAAAGACACTTGGGATACAAACTTAATTGTGAAGAACACAGCAGCAAAACCTCTACAATAAGCTGCTAAACTTGTATAAAATTCCCAGTCCTTACAGCAGTTCTGAGTTTACAGTCAGTCAGGCTTCATTTCATATGTCTCTGCGTTAAAGAGTCAGCTTTGTGCAAACACTGGTCTTTGGTGGTACAGTTTAAGGGGTAGCTCTATGCTATATTTAAAATTAAGCAGAATTTAAAAAATTTTTTTTCTTCTCCTTAGAGTCCACACTACAAGTAGGAAGCTGCTGGTAACACTACTTCATGAGGAGAGATTAAAAGTCCAGTTTTTAAAGTAGGAGAACCAAGTCTTTTAAGAGTATAATGGTCTTGCCAGAAATTCACTGACTCCTCTTTAAAGTAGAGGCAGACACGGTGCCAAGTTTAAATGTATAAATTTAATTTTGGAGATTTTCCATTTACCTAGAGGGCGGTATGATAATTAATACTATAAGGTCACTAACCAGAAACTTTGGGAGCTCTCGTGGCCTAGTGATAAGAAGCTATGCTGCAAACCCTAAAGAACATGGTTCGAACCCACCAGCTGCTCTGTGTGAAAAGGATGGCAGTCACCTGTGCAATTTGCTGCCTATGCAAATATCCGCTGGAGGGATAGCTCTGGATCAGTCCTGACTCTGCTGCACACACCAAAGGCTTAGGGATTTCTGGTGGCCTGTCTGCAGCGACTAACCCAAAGCCTGCAACTCTCTAACCGTTTGAATAATCCATTGGCTGCACCACAGAAGATGGGCAGTCATCCCTGGGAAGGTTCACAGCCCAGGAAACTCAATAGCAGAGGTTTGCTAGGATTGGAACTGACTCAGCAACAGTGGGTTTGTATATTTTTGCTTCCAAAGGAAAATCAACACTTAACTCCAGCAGTCAGGAGATCAAAAGACACATTGCATGGGGGAAAGCTGTTGTCATGGACCTCTCCAGAGTGCTGAAGGGCAATGATGTCAGTCTAGATAAAAAGGTGCGACTAATCCAGGCCATGGCCTTCTCAATTACGTGTTATGCGTCAGAGTTGGACAGTGACTAAGGATGACAGAAGAATCATCGATGCCTTCAAGTTGTGGTGCTGGAGAAGGGTCTTGAACATGCCATGGACTGCCAGGAAAACAAATAGGTCTGTCTTGGAAGAAACCAAGTCTCTCCTTGGAGGAGGACATCATGCTCAGAAGGGAATGGATAGCGCAGGAGAGGGAGACCCCGGATGAGATGATTGATACAGTAACTGGGGCAATGAGGGTAGGTGTGGAGTTAGTGAAACTGATTCAGGACAGGGAAGGGTTCAGAGCTGCTGTACATAGGGTCGCTATACATCGCTGGTGACTCAATGGCACAAAACAGTAACATAACTCGGACAGGTTTGGAAGCAGGAGTGGCATCCACTTCCTAAAAAACATGCCTCCGGAAATTCTAGGAACTTTATAATCTTCAATAGTTGTAGAGGGGCTTCAGGCCTTTCATTTATAGGGTCGTTATGAGTCGTGTTTGACTGGAAGGCAATCAACAAGAAAGGAAAATGAGGTGAGCTGTTTCTTGTCAGGGAGCTTTGGTGGCTGGTGGGTAAAAAGTTATGCTGCCAACCCAAAGGCAGTTTGTTCAAATTCACCAGCTGCTCCGTGGGAGAAAGATGAGCAAGTCTGTGTGTTCTAGTCTATCAGGAGCTGCTCTGCTAATCAAAAGCATGTGCCTCCCTGGCAATCTGAATTCACTAGCTGCCCTCCAGAAGAAAGACAGGCAGTCTCCTGTGTGATGTGACTTACAGCCTGTGCACACCCACTGAAGAGTCAGCGAGGGGCTGGCTGTAACTTGACAGCACAGAACAACGGTGTCTGGTCTTAACACCCAAGGAACTGAATAGGTAAGAGCCTAAAGCTGGCAAATTTTATTTCCTCCCGTAAAAGACAGTAAGACAGCTGGGCATTAGAACTGTTGAGTGCATTCTGCTCTCAAATGGTATCAATGTAATACTTTCTGACTTATGCCCACCCAAGCTGGAGGGAGTTTCCCAAGACTTGAGGTGTGATGGTGGCTTTGTCACACTGGCCCAGGGCGGCAGTTTCTCCCAAAGTCCACGGACTTGCTGGACTGCTGGAGCCTAGGCCTGTGCAACAATCAGGTCCCTGGTGACTTGAAAGGCGGCGATGAGGGAGCTCAGCTGAATCTTCTCATTGGTGCCAACAGAAAGTCTGTACCTAGAAGAAAAGAAATAGACAGCACAGGCAGATCATGGCAAAGAGTTACTATCTGATACAAGACCAAGGATCAAAAACTGAATAGCTGTTGGCAGAGAGGGGAGGAGACATGATCATTTACCTGACAAAGAAAATGGTCTGCATCTTTTTTTCTTTCCTGCCCTCAAACACGGATTTATCAATCTGATTTAAGCTGGTGAGGGAGTTTTAGTTACCAGTTAGTTACCAGTACCAGTGCTAGGAACCTACCTGACTGTTCTGTGTATGTTAGAGCCTGTCGAGTCTAACTCGCAGCAGATCCTCCAGCAGGTTTTCAGAGACAGTTAATCGAATGTCTGTCCTTTGTAACCTGGGAGCAGCTGGCTGGTCGGTTTGAACTGCGTGCCTTTGGGTTGGCAGTGCACTCTTTACAGCTAAGCTACCAGAGCTCCCTGACTGTATACAGATCTGCAGAATTCGTGTGGTTACAGATTATTTCTTCATCCGCCAGAGGCACGGAGAGGGATTCTAATTAGGGTTTCCTCCTTCTTAACCAAGGCATTTCCGCGGGCACCCTGCCTGCCAGCTGTGGTTCCCTGTCTGTTTCAAAAAGCGGCCTGAGATGCTCAGTCCTAACAGTCAACAGCGCGGGGACAAGAAGTGACCTAATTTGTCAGTGCAAGCGCCAGCGATCAGCAAATGAGTCTGCCTGTGTTGACATCTATTTTGAAGCTGATGCTTTGTCGACTTAAATGATGGCTGCCAGCTCCACTGGGGGCTAATCATAGTGTTTACTGAAGTAGGCAAAGTGGAAAATTAGGTTTATGTTGACTTTTCTCCCCAATATGCTTTAGTATGCCAAAATGCCTTAATAACAGCTGGATGGCTGGTCGTCCCCAGATGACCTGCTTGTCCAGAGCTGAAAGTCTGACAAATCCACTGCCATGGAACTGGTCCTGACTCGTAGTCAGCCCCAGCCCCACCCCCTACTGGGTTTTGGAGGCTGTAAATCTCTACAGGAGGAGGCAGTCCATTTTTTCTGCCGAAGAGTTGCTGGTGGATTTGAACTGCTGCCCTTTTGGTTAAACATCACAAGTGGTAGCAAACCAAGCTGCCAGAGCCCCTTTCAACAGGCCTCTCAAATAAGGGGATGCTGTGACTCAGTGTGGGCCCCGCTCTGCAGGTCTGTGGAGATCGAGACTCCAGGGAGAGCCCAGCTGTGTGCGACCCGCACTGGTATCAGATCCACTCATCCTCCCCCTCAGGTCTCACTCAATTGCACCACTAAGAACTCCTGTACTGTCGACTCGGAAATGACCCATAGCTGACCCTCCAGTGGGTTGTCAGAGGCGGCGAATCCCACAGGAAGAGGCTGCCCATCCTCCTCTCGTGGAGCAGCTGGTGGATTCGAACCGTGTGCCTTTGAGCTGGCAGCACAGCTCCTTAACACCAGGCCACCAGATCGCCCTACTAAAGAAGTAGGGCACACAAGATATGCATGACTGAGACAAAACTGGAAAGGCAGCAAGCAGAAACAGTAAGCCACAACCAGAGAGGGAAGAGGCAAAGAACGAAAACTCGGAGCTCAATACTCACTCGATGTCGGCCATTTTGGTCAACAGCTGCACTCGAATTGAGGATGGAAAATCCACTGAGGAAAAACAAAAGCAAAAGCGTGAGATGGGGCGTAGTGTCCTTATTTTTTTTAAAGGCAATGAAGACAGAAATGTATTTAAATTTCAGCTAATATAAAATGAACCTCTTCAGAGCCCTCGTGCTCACCAGATACCACACCTAATAGAAAAGAAAAATGATGCCGTTTCCCCAGTTTTGATTCTACTTCCTTCTTTATAACGCTGTAATAAACATGAGCCTTCACAGATCACAAAAACATGGACGAATCAACACAGCTCTTTTCAACTTGGACGCTGAGAGCTCACAGCTTGAAAGCGGAGTTCTCACTTGCTGCCCCGGTTTTAAAAGATAAGCAATCATACTGTAAGTCAGCTCATATCAGCTGCCACAACAAGGGGGCAGAGCTGGGCTCGAACCCCTGTGGTGCTGGGTAAAGCGTCACCCAGATAAGAGCCAGTCAGCTGGTAAGAGCCGGGGGAGGGCAGAGAGAACCACTCGCTGACCTGCCCTGTTTTTTTGGAGCCTTGGATTGGCTGTAGAGGGAGAAGTTGCTCTGGAAGGCTCTACAAGGTCACCTGGGAAGCTTGGAAACACATTTAGGTGGAGGTGAGTGCTGTGTGCTGCCCTGGCTGAGAGTCGCCTCTCTGTGCAGGTCAGCCAGCAGTGGTGCAACTTAGCAGGAGACCACTTATGGTTTATGAGAAGGAAGTCTGCCTTCCTCCTTTCCTTTGGGGAAAATACTCAGTTAGAAATGTGAACAAAAATGTACATTTTATGACTGTAAATGTTAGCCTGGTGGAGTTTATCCCCGGCACTTTTAGAGATTTGAAAACTGCTTTTAGTGCAGTGGTTTTAACAGCAGCAAGACTAAATTGCTAAACTTGAGGGTCAAGGCTCTACTTCTGCATCTCTCGTTACTTGATGACAAGAATGAAGCCCATGCCCCCTTTTCAGCCACACTTCACCCCCCATCTGGCACCTGTCTCATGCCTCCCAAACCAAAGGAGAACGCAGTCAATACCTCGGTGCACGAACAAGTGGATCTCGGTCAGGATGTCATGCAACGCCAACCCCTTCAGCGTTTTCAACTCTGTTATGTCTAGAGAATGTTAAGGCAAACAGTGTGCTGCAGACCATGTATGTGAGCATGTACATGTACACACACACACACACACACACACACACGCACACACACAAGAGAGAATCTTGAATTCAAAATGGATCCATACTTGGCCTTGGGTCTTTACTATTCTTAGGAACCCTGATGGCTAGAGGCTTAAGGGTTGGGCTGCTAATGGGAGGGCTGGAGGTTCGAACCCTCCAGCTGCTCTGTGGGAGAATGACAAGCCAGTCTGTTCCCGTTTAGATCTGGAGCCTGAGAAACCCAATGGGGAGGTTCTCTTCTGTCCTACAGGATTGCTATTAGTCAGAAACAGCTTGGTGAGAAGTAGTTGGTTTTTATTTCTTTCTTATTTTTGGTATGTGTCTATTGCCTTCTGAAAGATACAGCTGCAACTCCTCCCAGTACAGAGCTGACTGCACCCGCAGAGCGCCTTCATCCAGTCACACCTCATTTTTCATGTCACAGCAAAACCAGTGTAACACTGACCACGTTAAAGTCACTGCATCCTTCCTCCCCCTGCCTGACTTCCAGGCTCGCATCTGTGAGGGGAGCAGGTCACACCCTTCAAGACCATCAGGATGTTCCAGGCAACACTCCCTCCACCTCCAGATACCCTGCTTCCAGAGCAGGCTGACCAGAGTCACTCTGTCCATCAGGGGTGGTGTGGCTGTGGCCTGTGTTCCCGGGACGCTCTAAGATCTCGGGCGCCTGGTGGGAAGACACAGCAAAAGGATACTTCTGTAGGCCGTGGTGAAGTCCTGGTTCAGCATCCAGTCCAGGATGTTGGCGATGTCCGACTTGAGCGGGTGCCCCGTGCAGGTGTACACGGTCTCCTCTGTCACCTTCCCGAAGGCCATATTGGTGCTCTGTGCAGATGGGTGGGATACGGTGACTGTCACAGTGGCAGCCAAAGGCAGAGTGCTGAGGCAGCAGCAGGACACAGTCACTGGGGACCCACATGCTGCTGTTTGGTTTTTTTTGTTTTTTTTTTATTATTTCAATGAACATCTACAGAGATTTTGGAATTCCATTCATTCACTGTTGCACTTTTCTCCCCACCCACTCACCCCCACCCCCACCCCCAGTTCGCTCCTCTCCTTGAAAAGCAGAAGAAAAGCTCCTTCATTGGTGCACAACCCATGCTGCTGTTTTAATGCTGACAAGAGCAGGCCCTTGACGGATGACCCTGCTGGGGCTGGCTGGGTCGCAGATGCTGCCGACTCCTCACTCTTCCCCTTGTGAGCAACTATTTAATCCTTCAACTAATCGAAACGCAGAGGGGTAAACTCTGGGCACGTTAGGAGACCATGGACTTAATTGGATCTGGATTTCTGAATTCACTCATGCTGGGACTTGGGTCTTTCCAGAACAACTCTGAACAATGGCTGGAGGTTTTCTACATGGAAGAGAAAGTTACCTGCAGGATGTTCAGAGCCCTTCTCATGTCTCCACTAGAAAGGGTGATGAGGGCTTTCATGCCGTCCTCACTCACGTCAACGCTGAAAGGAGACAGGCAGATTAGAGCCCTCGAGAAGAAACACATTCACAGGGGAACGAAATGAGCTGGGGCGGTTAAGAGTAGAGTTAAAATTACTCGCCCGATCTGGACCGTTTAGAATTCATTCTGGTTTTTAGAGCCTCAGGCATCATGAACACAATCCCGGAGACAAAAGGTCACACCCACTGTCTCCCAGCTGATTCTGAGTCATAAGGACCCCACAGGCCAGGGCACAAGTGCCTGCTTCGGGTTTCCAAGGTGCTAATAACTCTTCTATGGAAGTGGAAGGCCGCCTCTTGGTCCTGCAGACCAGCTGGGGCATCCAATCATGTTCTCTGCTCTGACCGTTCCACCAGCAGGAGTCCTAAGGGGTCATGAAAAGCTCCAACTCAATACTGTTGAGTTGGAACTGACTCACAGCTGACATTCCAGCTCCAGCAGGTTTTCAGAGGCTGTAAAACACCCAGAAGACTGGCCATCTTCCTGCCTTAGAGCAGCTGGTGGACTCAAATTGCAGATCTCTGGATTGGCAGTGCAGCGCCTTACCCACTGAGCCACCAGAGATCCTGTAAGAATCGCAGCCCACTCACAATCGACTGCCCCTTATTTTAGTCTAAGCCTTCTCGTGTTGAGGGACTGGTCTAAACCATGCTCTTGGGGAACCCAGGGCAATGGAGACAGCTACGGGGCCGGAGCCCTGCCTTAAAAACCAGCAGCAGCTGCTCGGGGTGGGCCCTTGCTTGGCGTCTGGTCACGCAGAATGTGATGTCTCAGAACCTTCCCTTCTAAGTCACAGCAGCAAGAGGCGTGTTAGCAGAAGAGACTCTGCAGCACGCGGTTTCCAATGACAAACGAGGAGTAGGAGGATGCTGGGACCGCTTCCAGGGGAGGAGGATGGCATCGAGAAAAGCCAGGAGGAGAAGCAAACGCCTTCATGTGGAGGAATGTCCGTGAGGCTGCAGAGAACATGAGAGCAGCCTCACGCCTCACTCTCCCTGTGCCAAGCGTGACCTCATTTAAAAGGAGGCAAGTAGACGAGATAAACCAGTGTCCTCTGCGCTCCCGTTACCCCGCACTTGACTTCCAGGGCACACTCACTTCTCTTCTCCTATGACGTGCTCCAGGCGGGGGACCATCAGCTCAGGAGTCAGGGGGCCGAACCGGAAGCGTGTACACCTTGACTGCAGGGCGGGGATGATCTTCGACAGGTAGTTACAGATGAGGCAGAATCTGGTGTTTTCTGTAAACTTCTCAATCACTGCAAAGAGAAGCAAAACCACCTGGAATCTCCAACCAGTTGAGTACTCAGCGGACCCAGGAATCCAGGATGTTTCTGGGGGCATGTGGAAGGTTTGGGAAAGGCCATCACATGAGGAGGCTGCGTGCCTTGAAAAAGGGCCTCGGGGTTTTTCAGGATCGGGACCAATGACTCCCTTTTCTGAGCTGACCAGCACACTCCCTATGCAAGACCTCACAAAATGCTTCCTATTTTAGGATCCTCAAGGATTCACAATCAACACAGAAGTCAGGAAATCAAAAGAAGAATTTCATTGGGAAAATCTGCTGTCAGGGACCTCTCCAGAGTACTGAAAAGCAATGATGTCAGTCTGGAGACTAAAGTATGCCTGATCCAGGCCATGGTCTTCACAATTACTTCAGAAAGCTGGATGATGACTAAGAATGACAGAAGAATCAATCCCTTTGAACTGTGGTGCTGGAGAAGAGTTTTGAACATACCATGGATTGGCAAGAAAACAAGTAGGTCTGTCTTTGAGAGGGTGAAACAAATCTCG